TATGATGCCTGTGGCTGCGATCCAGTAACCCACTAGATAACGTTTTCCGCCCATGAAATCCGTGAGGGTCGCCCAGAAGAGGGTGGATGCTATGCCGACGGCTGGGACGCCGGTTGGGTAATTGTTGTTCTGGGCTACGGTGTATGTTTCCGTTGGATGAGACCGCATGTACAGTTGGAGCAAGGCGTTTGTGCTGAAGGATTCGGTTTCTCCGGCGAGGATCCAGAGGATGACGAAGAAATACCAGTACCATGTGCTGAAGCAGTGTTTTAGGAAGGAGAAGGAGATGGGGGTTCGTTCGCTGACTTCGGGGACGCGGGATATGGCGAGGGCCTTTTCGGTGGCGGAGAGGTAGGGGGCCCTTGTGTTGCGGGGGGTGTCTGCAGAGGTAGAGGTACGAAGTCAGTACATGTCTCACATGCATTTCGTATAGCCAGGACTTACCAGGGAAGAGGAGGAAACCGTAGAGGGCTACGGGGAGGGTGATGATGCCGTCGATTACTGAGAACGATGTTAATACATGTGTATGTAAATGTGTAAATAGATTTGAATACTTACTAAACAACCACCTCCACCCACTCATCCCCCTCAACCCATCCATACTACTATGAATCCCCGTCTGAATAAACCCGCCTATCATCGTGCCTGCCAGACCCGAAGCAGTGAAGATGCCGGATCTTTTCCCTAGCTCTTTTTCTGTGTACCAGGAGCCCAGGATGTAGTGGGTTCCTACAAAGGTGGAGGATTCGAAGAGCGCTTGGAAGAAGCGGATGGCCATAATGTCTTGCGGCTTTTGCGCGGCGGCTGTTACCATTGTTAGGCCCGCCCATGCTACCTGGTGGTCTTGTTAGGAAGGGTGGATTGTGGGTGGAGGGATGGATGGGGGGAGATGTACCATGCATGCTGGGAAGAAGTAGCGAGGTTTGATGTAGTAGAGGGCTATGTTGCATGGGACTTGGCCTATGGTGTATCTGGGATGGACTATTAGTATACTTCTGCATGTCTTTCTTGTCCATGCTCACTCACCCGACAGTAAAAACGGTGTTGATTTGATTGAGCTGGTTTCCCTTGAAGCTCAACTCTTCCCTCATGCCAGAAACATACGCATTGTTGAGGTTTGTGCGATCAAGATAGTTCAGAAAGTACATGAGACAGCAGAAAGTAAGGATGAAGAAGTCGAGCTTCTGCACCAGCTTGCGCTCGCCTGGCGCATTCTGGTCGCCTCGAAGATAGGCGATGAAGCTGTTGGCCATTTTGGAGATTGTTATCTCAAAGTTGAGATGTTGCAGTGTTGACCTCAGCTGAGCAGAGGTAATGCGCCTCGTCGCTGAAGATATGAGGTTGCGCGACAAAAGACGATTCTATCGTGTCTCCAAACAATCGCCGTTATCAGTTCTGTATGTAGTCTCGAATCTCTTCGGGTGACATTGTCCGTCCATGCATGAAAGGACCGATAGACGCTGGGAACGAGATATGGATGATAGTACGCCACTTATGCCTGACTCGGAGCGTTCACAATCAGTAACCCTCACCGACGATCATGACGCCCGTGGTTGGATAGCTGATTGCCGGTATCGGGTGCTTGGGGAGGCGTATCTGAATCTCAACACGGCCGGTATATCCTCTTGAGCAACGGCAGTCTATCTCGGCCGACTGAGCGGCATGTCTGCTAGGGGTTAGTCTGGCTTGGGCGCGTGTAAATGCGGGGAATGGTACTGTCGACGCCTTCGATGGCTTCGGTTCAGGGCCGCCATCACGTATGGACCGCGGCGCAGATGCACCCGAGAGTGGGGAGGATAGGAATACGGAATGGCGAAGGATACGCACGGAGATGTTTACAAATTCCTCTTTTAATTCAATAGACTTGGATACCACAGTCATCCATATCACGGTAGTTTGGTGTTGCAAAAAGTCCTGAAGTATGACATCTGAAGCAAACTGGGAGAAAGTTGCCGCGGGGAAGCGCGCAGCTCTCGCGGAATCCATTCCGACTCAATACCGCATACCCCAGGACAAGTTTCCACCGGAATCACAACTCGATGTCACGACGTGGCCCAGGGAATCTGGATGGCTTACGGAGTCAGAACTCGCGATCACTGGGAGCACCGCGTCAGATATTCTCGAGAAGATCGCGTCGAAAGCATGGAGCGCCGAAGACGTCACGGTCGCGTTCTGCAAATGCGCCGCAGCAGCGCATCAACTGGTATGGCAGAGTTTTGTGGAGTAGAGTTGAGGTGATCTGATGGATTATAGACGAATTGTCTCAGCGACGCCTTCTTCGATGAAGCGGTGCAACAAGCTAAATCCCTCGATGAGCATCTCGAACGAACTGGCAAGACCGTAGGACCGCTCCATGGCCTGCCTATATCGCTCAAAGACAACTTCAACGTAAAGGGGAAAGACAGCACCGTAGGCTTCACCTCGTTAGTGAACCAACCCGCCGAATACGATGCCACGCTGGTGGAAATACTGCGTCGACTGGGCGCTGTCCAGTACTGCAAGACCAATGTGCCAACAGCCATGATGATCGTACGTACGCGCGCATGTGTAACGGGCTGAAAACTGACACGACACAGGCAGAGTCCGTGAACAACACGTTCGGCCGCACTGTCAACCCGCTCAACCGCAAAGTCACGTCCGGCGGCTCTTCAGGCGGAGAATCAGCCCTCATCGCATTTGGAGGAAGTCCTCTGGGCGTCGGAACAGACATCGTAGGTACGACTTTCCACTAGACCTTCAGATCTAACAATGTCAGGGCGGCAGCTTGCGTATCCCAGCGGCATGTACCGGTATCTTCACTCTGCGCCCCTCCTTCGGTCGCTTCACCACACAACGATGCAGATCCGGTCTCGCTGGCCAGGAAGCAGTACAGTCCGTCAACGGGCCCATGGGCAAAACACTCCGGGACATCACCATGTACTCCAAAGCCATCGTCGACGCAGAGTGCTGGAAGTTGGACCCAAAGATGCTGCCGATACCGTGGCGACCAGTAGATCTCCCGAAGAAGCTTAAGATCGCGGTGCTATACAACGACGGTATCTGTTTGCCTACGCCGCCGGTGACTCGTGCGCTGAAGGAGACGGCGGTCAAGCTGAAGAAGGCTGGGCATGAAGTTTTGGCTTGGAATCCGAAGTTGCATGCTAAGGCGATAGAACTTCTGGGGCGCATGTTCGTTGCGGATGGAGGCAAGAGCGTGGAAGCATTACTCGGCGTAACAGGCGAGCCGTACCGGCCAGAGATGTTGCAGTACAAAGACGCCAAAGAGCTGGGCGTCTATGATATGTGGAAGCTGCATACAGAGAGATCTGAGCTACAGCGGCAATACCTGGAACAGTGGATGGCCATTGAGGGACTCGATGCCATTCTAGGTAAGACAGAGAGAACTATGGTTTTGCTGAAACATTCTTTTCTGACAATCATTAGCTCCAACAACCCCATACTCAAGCGTAGCGCACGGCGACTTCAAATACGTCGGATATACCGGCGTGTACAACGTGGTTGACTACTCTGCTACGTCGTTTCCTTGCGGAATCTCGGTCGATAAGGCGTTGGATAAGTATGCGAGCGACTATAAGGCTCAGAGCGGTTACTGTCAGGGTGCTTATGATAGCTGTAAGTGGCACATCTTCTCACAGTTGATAATGACTAATGAATGCCAGATAACCCTGAACTGCTTGATGGCCTGCCGGTCAGTTTGCAGTAAGTACTATATGAAGCTTCTTTGTGGTGGTAATGCTAATCTTTGTAGGCTCGTTGCGCAACGACTGGAAGAGGAGAAGGTGCTTGCTATGACTGGAACAGTGCTTGAGGCGATACGGTCGTGAGGATATGGTGCACGTAGTATGATATACCTCCAAGATACAAGAAGCTCTGCAATGTCACAACTGCCGTTGCCACGATTCCAGATAACGTGGGTGAGTGTCGCACTGGCTCTCAAAGTGAGTGGCGCCCTTCACATGCAGCAACGGAAAGAGCGAGTACAAGGCCAAGTGCGTCCGGCAAGTAAACAGACAGCTAGCTCGACTTTCATGCTGTCGCACTCAAGTGCTCACACGACGTTGGTTCCACACCTTCCACGCCGTTCATCCTTTTGTCTCATCGCTACAACGGCCAGCTTCTTCTAAACCCTCTACCTTCGCCGCCCTGCTTGCGTTTACCTGCAAGCAGTCGAAGCTGGTCGTCTCATCCATTTCACACATGACCTTTTCGGCTGAACTCTCACTTCGATCCTATAGCAACTCGGTCGGCAAGCTTCACATCAGCGCATAATTGCCGTCTTCAGTATTCACGCGTGTTCGCCGTTCCAGATCACCTCGATCAATCGCTTACTCAACAACATGACTGAGTCTGAGAACAATGCCTCGAAGGCGTCGAGCGCTCCCCCAAAGACGACGAGGGCACCGGAACGCAAGAAGCTTGGAACACGAACGACATCAGACAGACTTCCCTGGCTCAATGCCAAAGCTCCGCAGGCCGTGGCTGCAACGTTCACGGATGGTCAGAACAGCACAACTGTGGAGAGCCCATGCAGCTCGCCTGTAGATGGTCACGAAAGCCCTAAGCCGTCTCCATCACCAAGCACGCGACCTAGCGGCAAGGTGACTGTCGCGTCTGCGATTCAGCCCATTATCACGACTAGACCGATGCCACGAAGGAAGTCATCGGTACCAGCAGGTGAACGTCGGGTTCCATCAACAGCTACCAGTAGCCCCTCTCCAGTAACGAGACATCGACAAGCCCAAACGCGCCGTTTCTCATTGGCGACTAATACAGTAACGCCGTTAAGGTCGGCGCATCGAACGTCCATATCGCAGTCACATGAACCACAAAAGAGGCTTTCTGTCGTGAACATCAAACAGGATGTTGACGAGCTGGGAGTCAACCATGTTCACGATGCTCGCCCTCGCGCTGACAGTCTCGCGCCAGTCCCGAATCATCTTCAACAGTCCAGCACGTCAGACTGCACCAGCACGCCTCCAGCAGTAATCTCTAGAGTCACAATGTCTCCTACGCAACCGGCACCAGCCCGAGTTACCTTTGAGCGGGCGGCAAAACGAAAAATAAGCAACGCAGTAGAAGACTTGGAAGACATGGTACAGGAAGCTGCCACGGTTGCAGAGGTTGTCGATGATCGGCTCCAAATGGAAGAACTGTACACAATTATAGAGGGGGCGAGAGACGCCGTACACGACGCTACCACCGAGCCTGAATATCTCATGACAACTGCTCTTCCTCTCAAGGTGTCTGAGTCTTCAAGCTCGCCTTCTCGCACCCACAACATACTCCCGGTTGTCGTTGATCGGACTAATCTGGATGATATCGCCCCCGACGTCCGTCTGCATGCTGACCTGCCAAGAGCATCGGTGTCTTATGACTGGGCCTACTCGAATCAGAATGCGCGAAAAGAAAGCAGTCCTTCTACGTCGTCGTGTTCGTCCAGTGACCGCAAAAGCGAACGAGACCACCTCCATGCCGAGCTGCTTCCGCCCAAGCTCGTTCAGCCAGCTCCAAGAGAACATGTGGATTTTGTCCTCCGTCCTGTCGGTCGAGATGAGTCTCGTGGTCGCTCTCGCCGACGCCACCACGGTGATTCCACACGACACCGACATCGACGCCACCACAGCCCAGAGCTTGTGTGTCGACCCAAGCCCCGGCCCGAACCAAGAGATTCAGGCTTCGGTGAAACCGAGTGCTCATCCGACGAGGATGATGTACCATCGAAACCATATGGCGGCGAACTCACTGTGCGGGAACAGGCGCACCACCATACGTTCAGTCTTCACCGACATCACCGAAGACAGCCAATTGCGAGAAACTGGTCTACGGGCAAGAAGCGTCTGACCGCCAGTATTGCATGTATCAACACAGCTCTGCTTGGCATCATCGTCGGTATCTACGCCGGTGAGGTACCTCGCATCCAGTACTCTCTCGCGGACGAACGACATATCGTGATCATAGGCAATGCAGTACTCTACGCTGGACTTGCTATCTCGACCTTCTTCGCTTGGACACTACCTCTCTTACACGGACGAAAGCCCTATATTCTTGCTTCACTAGCAATTGCCTTGCCACTTCAGTTTCCTCAAGCTATTGTTGTAAGCGGCTATCACAACAAGGAGGCAAGGTATCGTGTCGGCCTTTTGCTATCGCGTGGTGTATCTGGTCTCGTCCTCGGCTTCGCAAACGTCAATTACATCACTGTACTGCTTGACCTCTTTGGGGCTTCGCTACAGTCCAAGAATCCTCACCAAGAGTTCGTTGTCGCGAATGATGTCCGCCGCCATGGTGGGGGTATGGGTATGTGGCTGGGTATCTGGTCATGGTGCTGGATTGCTTCTATTGCCGTCGGCTTTCAGATTGGCGCTGCGATCATCGACCGTCTATCGCCGCAGTGGGGATTCTACATCATCGTCGTGATTCTAGCTTTTGCCTTGGTCCTCAACATCACGACTTCGGAAACGCGACGCGCACCCTTTCGGAAGTCTGTAACTGAGGTGTACGACAGAGACGAGAACTATATTACCAGGCGCGTGAGTCGGGGTGAGGTAAAGTTACATATCGAGACTGAGGGACCGAAGTATTGGTTTGAAGAAGTGTGGGCGGGTATCAAGCTCATGACAATGATGCTCTGCCAACCTGGTTTCCTCGTCCTGGCACTCTACCTCGGATGGATCTACGCACAGGTAGTACTTGTGATAGTCCTTCTCGGCGCTCTGTTGTCGCGAGACTACCGATGGAAACCAACAAAGGTGGGCGCAGGCGTTATATCTATAGCTATTGGCGCCTTCCTTGCCATCCCCTTGACGAAAGCCGGCATCTTCTCTCGTGAGCGGAAAAGTGCGTTCCGCACCGACTCCATGACCTTCCAGAAGCAAGTGACCTGGTCGAGCCATCTTGTCCGCCGCGCCATCTTCACGCTCACGCTTCCGCTGATGGGCATGGCGTACACTGTCTCGTCGGCTAGGTGCCCTCAACCATGGCTTGTACCGATCATCTTCGCTGGCGCTGTGGGATTCCTCAGTATCCTCGCCATAGCCGAATGCCATGGCCTGATGATGGAGACGTTCGATACGTGTGACTTGCAACCTGGAGTCAATACGCGACATCGCTTGCAAAGCATGGCTGTCCAAGATCGCAGACGAAGGACGAACTACACCTCCTTTCCACGTGTTACTGCTGGCATCTTTGCTAGCCAGATCATTGCTTTCGTCCTCGCCGCTGTCGCAACCATGGTGGGCGGCAACATGACGCGAAGTCTTGGCGCGCAAAAGTCCACGGGTGCTACGGCGGGCATTCTCTTTGGCATCACTGTTCTTCTGATCCTGGTCCTCTGCCGCTTCAAATCCGTACAAGTTATACCCAACCATACCTTCGGAACCCGTCGCGATACGGCAGCCTGGCAGGAGTTCAAAGACCTAGAAAAGGTCGGCCGGGGCAGTGACTGGAAAGCTGTCGTTATTGGAAACCCCAGTGGTAAGATGAGAAGGATGAGTGTGCTTGAGCTGGGCGCGTTGAGTCGCTGGACCGAGATCAGAAAGTTAAACTTTCTGATCAAAGGTGAGATGTTGGGACAGCCCAAGGAGAAGAAGAGTAGTTTCGATGGTAGTTGGTGATGGTGTTGTGAGAAGATTGTTCACTACTGGAGAAGTGTCGCATAACCTGGAGATGAGTATGACAGTGAAGCACGTATTTTTCATGATACAACTACAAATCTCTCATGAAAGTGACCTCATGGTGACTAGCATCGGATTGTTGAGGTTGTAATGGCAACATGGTTGATCCCCTGAGCCGGCAAGCGGCGACGACGCACGGACTCCGCTGAAAAACCAAGCGTCACTGCCGAGCTCCATCCACCCTCACGAGACGAGCAGACGACCGGCGACACCCCATCTCCCCTCAGTCAATTCGCATCAACATGTCTCTCGCTGCATCACGTGCCGCCATACGGCAATCGACGTTTGCCGTCCGGCGCGCTGGCATCCGCAATGCCTCGACGACCGCCGAAGCCACCAACACTGTAAAGGAAACCGCGTCAAAGGCACAGTCAAAGGCCTCAGAGGGTCTCACCAAGGTCACAAGCTCGGCGAGCTCAGCCGCACAGAGTGCCGGTCAAGCCGCCAACAATGCGACACAGCAGGCCACTGGACGGGTAGGAAGGATGGTCAACTTCGTCAACGGTCAGTCACACCATCTCTGCGGCGGGGGAGGGTATCAATTGGCCATGTGCGAATTGCGTGCAGTAGTCTGAGCTGAGAGAGCAAATTGCGGAGTGCATTGGCTCGTCCGAACAGCTCTACATGGCTTATCAGGCGCAGCCACATTTGCATGGCTCACCCGTGACAGACGGATGTCCACGAGTCGCAGAACAGCAGAAAACTCCAAACTGAACTATCGACTGACAGTACTACAGGACTGGTTCCCAAGGCTACCTACTACGGAAGGGTCGGACTCGAGCTCGGCAAGCTCATTGCCCACCAACGAAGCATGCAACCACCGTAAGCCTCCCAGCAGCACTACTCGACACACTGGAGCATCGGAATAATTACTAACTGCACCCAGATCCGTCCAGACGATGCAGAACTACATCCAGCCCGCATTGAACGCTCTCCGCAACCCAACCTCGCTCTTCAACCGCGTAGCCAGCGAAGCCAACAGCGCCTCGCAGCAACCCGCCAACGTCCTTGCACAAGTCCGGAACATTCCCCGCGAACAATGGTACTCGATGGGAGTAGTTGTCGCCGAGGTAATTGGCTTCTTCTCGGTTGGCGAGATCATCGGCCGTTTCAAGCTTGTTGGCTACAGGACCAAGAAGGACGAGCACCACTGAGTGCGATGAGCTGAGGAAGCTACGACACGACTATTACAGCATGCACAAAGGTTCCAACGGTAGCGAGCAAGACGACGAGGGGGCGGCGAGGAAACACTGTACGATTTGGCGGGCAGGGAAGCTGAGCAAGTGTGTTTGCGGTGCACTCGGGATGCAAGGGATCCGATACTGTATACTGCACATACCTCTGATTTAGATTCCATTTTCTACACATGTGCAATTATTGGCAATGCATCTACTTCAGTCCAAGCAACGATAATGATAGCTGCGTGAATGCTCGAATGATCGGCGCTAGTTGCGCCGAATCGCCGCGGCCCAGTTATTTTTCTGAGCGCATTCATCCAACTTTTGCAGTGTGAACAAAACCCAGGTCGCCATGCCGGACAGGATATAATTCGCTCTTTTTGACTCTGCCCTGATTCCCCGCCACTATGAACGTGTTCAAACTCCTCTCGCGATCCTCCAAAGCGGCGCCAAGCTCGTCCGCGCAAAAGCTTCCCTCCTCCGGCGCCGTCGCAAACCCGCAGCTGTTTGGCCACGACGACCCAGCACAACCGTCCGACACGTCGAGTCCCAGTCGCAAGAGGAAGAGAGAGCAGAATGGCCGGGATGCATCTCCTAGCGCAAACGACCTGCCCGCCGATCTCGACTTCTTCGGCGGCGGTGCAAGCAAAGATTCAGACGTAAACGGAAGCACGCTATCCAAGAAGCAGAGGAAGAAGCAGAAGCAGCAAGAGAAGAAGGAGGAAGAGGCCAGACTTCAAAACGATACAGAGGAAGTAGAAGAGGAGCCATATGATGTGGACGAGTGCAAGCGGATACTGCGCTCGCACAAACTCAAGGTCTCGGTCCTGGACGACTTCGCGCCGCAAGTAGAAGAGCCAGTCAAAGAAAAGAAGTCGAAGAAGCGGAAGAAGGAGAAGGAGGTCAAGGAGAAGAAAAAGGATGCGAAGAAGTCGCTCTACCCACAACCCCTCACCTCTTTTGCGCAGTTACGGACGCGATACGGTATCTCGAGACGACTGGCGGAGAACATAGCAGAGCAGGGGTACAAGCTACCTACCGAGGTGCAACTGGGAGCTTTGCCGTTGCTGCTGAGCAAGAAGGGGCGTGAGGGGTCGAGTGGTGCTACGCAAGACGCCGAGGGCTTGTCTGGGGCTCAGTACAATGGGGATATCGATCTTTTGACCGTGGCGCCGACGGGCAGTGGAAAGACGATAGCGTTCCTGATACCGATTATCGATTCTCTGCTTGCGGAGGGCAAAATCCAGGATACGAAAGAGGGTCCTCGCGCCGTTATTCTTGCTCCTACGAGAGAACTCGCTGCGCAGATTGTTAATGAGGCGAGGAAATTGGCGAAGGGGACGGCGGTCAAGGCTACGCTTATGAGGAAGGGTATGCGAGTTGTGCAGGACCCAGAAGAAGAGACGCAGGACGACACAGAGAAAGCTGAGGTATCGGACAACGACGACGACGAGTCTGAGTCGGAAGACGAGGAGACAGCAGTAGGGCCAAAGAAGAAGCAAGCTGGTCGACGGGCAGAGCTTGTGAAAGCTGCCATCTTGGTCGCTACACCACTTGCTCTGCTGAACGCCTTGAAGCGCAAGGATGGTACCGTCGCGGGTATCCCCAGTGTATCCCAACTCGTCCTCGACGAAGCAGACGTCCTCCTCGACCCTCTCTTCCGCGAACAAACCCTCGCGATATGGAACGCCTGCACGAATCCGAAGCTAAGAATCGGTCTCTGGTCCGCAACAATGGGCTCGAATATCGACAGTTTGACTACGTCTACCTTGAACGACCGCTGGACTGCCCTCTCCAGTCCACCGCCCTCCCAACGTTCAGACCAGCCCACCACCACCCTCCCCGCACGACCCCCCCTCATCCGCCTCGTCGTCGGCCTCAAAGACTCCGCCATACCAAACATATCCCACCAACTAACCTACGCAGCAACCGAACAAGGCAAGCTCCTCGGCCTGCGCCAACTCCTGCATCCAACCTCTGTTTTCACATCATCTTCGACTCCTATCCTGCGACCCCCTTTCCTCGTCTTCACACAAACTATCCCCCGCGCCATCGCCCTCCACTCCGAACTCCTCTACGACATCCCGCCCGAAGCAGGCGGTAGTTCGCGGATCGCGGTCTTACACGCTGATCTGAGTTCGTCGGCTAGAGATGGCATAATGACGCGGTTCCGAAAGGGCGAGATCTGGGTTCTTATAACCACGGATCTGTTATCCCGCGGTGTGGACTTCCGCGGCTTGAACGGCGTGGTGAACTACGATGTCCCGTCCTCCGCAGCCGGTTACGTGCACCGCGTTGGTCGGACGGGGCGGGCTGGCCGCGAGGGAGGCGTTGCTGTGACGTTTTACACGCAGGACGATATTCCGTTTGTGAAGTTGATTGCGAATGTTATCCGGGCGAGTGAGAAGATGAGGGGGGTTAGTGAGGGGGAGGGGTGTGTCAAACAGTGGTTGTTGGATGCGTTGCCGACGCCTAGTAAGAGGGAGAGGCAGATGCTTAAGAGGAGGGGTGTTGAGGCGAGGAGGAGTGTGAAGGTTGGGGGTAAGGATGGGAGGGATGGGAAGGGGGTGAAGGTGGATAGGATTAGTAGTAAGAGTGGGTATGATCGCAAGATTGAGAATAAGAGGAAGGGAGCAAGGGAGGCGGCGAAGAAGAGGGAGACGGCTGGGCGACGTCAGGAAAGTGGTGATGAGAGTGGGTTTGAGGGGTTTGATTAGATGGTTATAGTGAGATGGTATTCCCGAATAAGAGTATGTGTTACACCTAGAACTTCCTCAAGCCGCACGTATCGTGAATGTAGCGCAAGCCGAATCGTACACTTTGATATTCTGTAACCACGGTTGCCCAAACAAGTTCAGCAATACACATGAACACAACATATGTAAATTGATTTCATCATCACAAAGAATCTGTATGCAATCGTATCAAACCCTCCATCTACAACACCACCCCATAAGCCTCCTCTCCCGCGCCCCTCCAAACCCTCTTCTTCTCGCCCTCGCCCAACCCCTTCCCTTCCATCCACGCTTCCACAACGCTCCTCCACAGCTTCCAGCTCCCTTCCTCCCCCGCAGGCCCACCCACATTACACACCGGCCAGTCACTCCCGAACATGACTCTGCCTGGGAAGCACTCGAACACGTGGTCTAGGAAAGGGGATAAGGCGGTTAGGATACTGGGGACGTCGTCTGGCGTGGGTGAGACGGTAAACTCGTTGAAGGCGCCTGAGAACTTCATGTAGACGTTGGTGTTGGATGAGAGGGATGACATGGTTTGCAGCCAGATAGGGGAGGGGGCGGGGGAAGTGGGTGAGAGGGGGGGTTTGGCGAGGTGGTCTGGGAGTTGTGTTAGTGGAGAAGTTCGTAGTGTGTTGTGTTGTGTGAGAAAGGATAGAAGCGTTTGAGGGAAAACGGGAAGACGTATACGTACTCAGCACAAACTTCACCCTCCTACCCTCCCTATCCCCTCCTTCGTCCTCGTCCTCCCTCGCTCTAACAGCCCTTATTAACTCCCCCACCGCCTCCATAGGCCCCGTCCCATCCCTATGGTTATCAACGCCTACGTCAAAACACCACGCCTGACACCCCTCCCCCAGCCCCTTCAATCCAAGCAAATTGCTCACCCACGCCTCCTCATTCTCCGCAAGCATCTGCTCAACAACACCCTGCCCCTTCCCTTGTAACAGGTACCTCCACCCTTTGATGCATTTCCAGAGCGCAGGACCAGCAGCTTCTTTAACGAGATCGAGATAGACATTGAACACCCTTGGCGAAAGATGAAAAGGCGCATACACCACACACCCCTTCATCTTCCCACTTTCCTCAGGACTAAACCCATCACCCTCATCCGGCCTCCCCTCCACTATCCTCCTCAGGAACTTAACTTCCTCCAACGGCTCTTTCGCCCACGCCCTCAACTTCTCCTTCACTTCCTCATTACTATCGGAATCCGCGATACTGGGCTCCGCGGAGGGAAGATACCGATCCGTTTCTACGTATATGAAGCCCGCGGGTTGGGGCGATGTAATGGCTAGGTAGTCTGAGATGCCGTGCCGTTTGGAGAGGTGGTGGCCGGGGGTCATCCAGCCGTGGTTGGAGGCTGATGTTGCGGTTGAGGGCCAGAGGTGGATGTGTGTGTCTAGGATGGGTATGTCTTGAGATGGCATTGTTGGATTGGTCGGGTTTGTCGGGCCGTGGGGCGTAGTGAGGCTGATGTCGCCTGTGTAGGATTCTGGATGGGCGAATCTGAAGGGGTCTTTTTTCTTCTTTTGGCTGAGGCCAAGAACTTGATTGTTGGGTGTTGTTGTTGTTGGATTGATATGCTATACTGAGTACTGTGGTGTTGTGATGCGGGGAGGTGCTTTCGGTTGGCGGGGTAAGTGGCTCCGAGGAATGTCCATCGATAGATTGTTGTACACGAGTATTACTTCTTCACGCAGATCACGGGTGTTTCTGATTCATGTTGTCCTGATTTGGACGCTCTCGTCTGTTCTGAGGCTTGCTTTTCCAATCGGGGAACTTGGCGTCTACAACCATCCAATAGCACTAATAGTGATGGACTTGCAGTATTGATGTGCAACATGCTTTCGGACTACATAAACTCAAAGCTATTGGAGATAACATAACCTGTAACTTGATAAACATAGAGCAAAGTCAAATGGACAGGAAAGACCGTCCGGCTTGGCCGCCCTTCATCACGATATGGCCGGTGATAATCAAGGCAACGTACAACGTATCGACGATTCCCAGCCTCTGGCCTCGGCAACTTGATCCCGAAACACATGCTTCATATCCTGCAGACGATATACCGGAGTGCACGACCGTTGGTTCTAGACACATGCAAGGTGTGTATCTTGGCATCACAACCAGCGCAGTACATACCACATACAAAGCAGAACCCACATACTTCGTACATCTCACCAAACGCGCTCCACGGAGGAAACGTACAGCAATTAGGCGTCCCCTGCACGCACGATGCCGACTTTGACGTGGTCTCAAAAGGCAGCTCGTCTCTATCGTGCAGTGATAGGCGCTTAGTCGTCCCGCACTTCCCAGCCACAAGGACAAGTGTCAAACTCAATGCCTATGAAGCCGACGGCAATTGTGGGGTAGCCATAGGCAAGAGGGTAAGAATATACTTTCGCTTGGAAAGCGAGAGCGGGTGCCCATCGATCCTGGTGCTATTGCCCTTGATTGCCTCTCACGGTACAGTAATTCCCGTGGGAGTGTTCGGAAGCGAGGGAGGGGTAAGCGGAGCAAAGAGGGCCGGAGAAGCACCGACGCTGCCAGGCGCGCAGCTCAACAAACAATTTTCAGAAGTCGTGCATACGTGAGGCTCTGCGAAGGTCCCTTTGTTTCCGTGGAGCGTGACATGTGACTGGGGATCCTGCTTACTGCATCTGCCGAAATTCTTGTATCGGCAGCGCGCAGCATGCGCGAATTAGATGTATGGCCGAAGCTGTCAAAATCTGTGGTGGCTGAGCGTCTCCGATCCTATTGATCTCAGCGTTTAGTCAACTCCACCATTGTCAGCAGGACCCTCTCTGTATTGCAAAACAGAGGGTCCGCAAATGGACCTTCGCCTGTTGGTCTCCAGTATCACCTCAGCGCTTACCAATATAGTACACTATGGCACACTTTGCTGAGCACTAGTTGTTATTGTACCCACACCCGTTTGCCCATCATCCGCCAGTATCTATCAGCGAGTGGACCTAAGACCGAAGTAGCCCTTTGCAGATACTATGGGAATGTCTGGCGGCCTCATCCCGCGATGTATGACGTGAGGTGTTGAAAGCTGACTCGTGCGGCGCCGAACGCCTAAATCACAATCAAGGATCGAGACGCCATCCGGCTGTTCTGATGGTGAAAGCAAGAAGAGGGTGGGGTGAAAAGTCTGGATGCAGCGAAAGTAGCCGTGATTGTGGAGAAGACAGGCAAGACCCTTGATGTCTCTTGACGCCGAGTCAGCCACGGCTCAGTCAGGATGCACGTCATTTTAGCGCGTTTACAGCCGTGGAGTAGACGTATGGGTTGCGGCTCGCTCGGTTCAAGAGACCGATGGTTAGTGAGCGGACTATAGATCGTGTGTTCTTGTGGCTGATGATATGGGAATGCGGCTGTGAGACGATGCTAATCTTGGTCGCGCGATGTTTGACGTGCAGCTGCAGGGTCTTGCTTCGTAGATGGAGTACCAAGGTTGCTGTGCGGAATGACAGTTCAGTCATGTGAGCATGTCGTGCGACGTCGTCATCTAAGATCGACGAACCATGGAAAAAGAAAAGCGCCGGGCCCCGTAGCGGACAACGGACGAGGCTTGATCGGATCTACTATACCAAAGTCGCACCGAGCCTAAGAATGGCTAGTAAGGGTTCCCAAAAGGCCACCTATATCTGCGGTATTAAACGACGCGCAAGCCGGTGGAGTTGGAAGCAGTAGGTTGAGACGATGACGATGTCATATATGGCATCTTCCCCACATTACGACGTTGCAGCGTTCCTGGATACAAGCCGTTTCGGGGCAAACTGGCCAGATCAACCTTGAGCACGTGACCTATGCTCCGAAGATGAAAGCTTTTCCACCATACATATCCGAAGATATGCCGCGACGAGCAGAATCCGGCGATAACTGTACCACAAACGTTAGAGGTACCTGACTCGAAATGATTTGCAGCTCGTGCTTGCTTGCCGCTGGATCTCGGTTCACGACCGGCACGGCGCGACGCTACCTCGGGCGCGCCAGTTCAAGGCCCATACAGACGGAGAGAGGACGTTTCCAAAGTTTCGTAACTGGAGTTTCCGAACAAGCACGGCTATGCTTCGGTATTGTTGGAGATTGCTGATTATGTACATATTATGTACTGGTTTGGTTAAACAAGTTTGCGTACCCGTGTCGAACTTGGAATATTGCTGCCGGTATGGAGCCGCGATCGATTCAAACACGCGCTCGGAGGAGGCTCCAGCATTGTGTCAGACAATCATGACACGATCATAACCAGATCCAAAACTTGCATGATAAGTAGCTTCAAACAACTTATGGAGTAGATCTGGGCCTTTTGGAACTTAGGCTAGACGTCTGATGTCGTCAGAGGGCCAGCATCTGTAGAAGCTAACGATGCCGACAAAGACTCCGCAAATACACAGTCTTTGCTGTCGCGGTAATAGCCAGCATGGCCTTAGCGCAGCGTATCCTAGTGAGGATGAAGTGGGTATTTGTACGCATTGCATGACAGCCCTTGGCCCCTTGCTTCAAGATGTACGAGTAATTTGGACTTTCGCGCATAAGTTCCCTCAAGTGAGATAACTGGATGGACGAGAGGTGATGTAAAGATTTTTGTGTGATAACGTGCGTCCCGACAGCGTGTCTCGCGCGTGAAGCGAGATGTGCAGAGTTTTCGCCTTCGACCCAGCTGTTTGGACAACGTTTCGGCTGCTGACAAGCAGGATCAAGCGAATGTCAATTGTCCGGAAGTGCAAACTGATTGCGCTGCCATCATCAGGCATCCCGGCCCATGTCGTGTTACGTGGGGAGCAGATAGGTTGTGCCATCTTGCAAGCGTGTACATTGAGCAGTCATTGTCATCTCGATTGGAGATGTTCACTGCCATTTTGGCTACTGCGTGGCGCTCGCCCAGTCTGCACCTGTGCAGTTGTAGTACTTTTAACAAGCCAGGCACCAATGACAATGTTCCGTGCGGTATTGGTAAATGCTCTGGGACACGGCACGCGAGAGTCGAACTGCAAGTCCGTGCCTAAAGCTGTCTGCAGCGTGTTGCATCGGGGATGCGGCACAGATGCTTGCGACAGCTTGGCTACAGAGTATCAATGTACATGTGTGCTGTTCGATGCCTGGTGGCCCATCTGCTGCGAATGCTACGTACGCAGTGACAGGCAGCTATGACGAGAGGTGGAGAAATGGGTCAGGCGTCGCGCCGCAGACAGCGCCAGTCTAGCGTGGGAGCTTGGCTCTGGACACACAGGCCTGCGGGAGCGGGATGACCAGCATAAGGTTTGGACAAAGGGTCTCTTCCGTGCGATTTGCTGGCTCGCTAGAAGACCAGGGCTCATGCATCTGTCATCCGTCATCGTCCCTGTTGACAAGACGCAGAATTTGTGTCTGGGTAGGGAAGAAAATTGCCGCAACGCACGATGATGTTTGATGAGGGCCAGCGATGCAAGTGTGCATGAGAAGTTCGGCGCCGGCATGGTTTCCTTGAAGCTTCAGCTAGGACGTGCAGCATGCAGGCCCGCTTGAGTGGGCAGCTTCGTTGGTGGGAAGACCTGTGGACGCCATCGACTTTTCAGCGCCATCGGATCGCGATAGGGGAGTCGAAAGTGCCAGAACAACGCTGGCCCCCAGGGCTTACTGCAGCCGATGCTGGACGGAATACTCTGCAGCAGTGGACGAAGGGCGGATTTGGCGTGGGTGAAGGCCAGCTGCGAGAGTGACATTGCGCAAAGCCACAGATTAAACGATGCTGCGGGCCATGGCCGAAAGCGGAGATACGAGGTAGTTCCGAGACTTGGGGAGTGGGTTCTTCAATTCCCTTATCCCGTAAACCGAGGGGTACCTAGGTGCCTGCCCTTCGCACCTGCCGCCTTTGAGTGGTTCGTTCGGGAGTATTGCCTACCTATCCTCTTCGTAGTGCGCCCGTCTCAGATAACGTGCCGCTATTTGTCTCGAGGCGGCCCAGACTCCCACATCTTTGCCGTAAACGATGAAGCAGGCGATGTCCTCGATGCGGGTGATGGTTCGCGCTACTTGTAGGCCGTGCAGCGCGGGTAGGACGCCTAAGACGGCTGACCAGGGGGTCGTGTGTTGCTCGGGAAACAGCTGTGATGTTGGGATAGAGTTTTTGTGCCGCGGTTGCACAATTGTGAGACGTGGAGCCAGAGCAGTCGCGGCTGACTACGCGCCTCGGGGGACGGCAGGAGCGAGCTGCGACGTTGAGAGTGGAGGAAGGCACCAAACAGAGCGACTGTAATAACGGTCATCATCATTGTCATTTGTTGTGACTTTTGCGTAGACTACATGGTTGGGTATTCACCAACACGGCGCGTGGAAAGACGCTGCAAATTCGACCATGGCCGTAAACTCCTTGAACACCTTGCATCCAACCGGGCCCATTTTGGTATCCGAGAGCTGCCACGCTCAATAGTAGGAAACAACA